ATCTGGAATGCTGATGACCACTAAATGGCAATCACAAATTACTCAAAATTCTCCTTGCAACTAATGTAATTTTTCCTAGGATTTTTACAGCCTAGATGATGGTATCCCTAATAAAAAGTATTAGAGAAGTGAAAATATAACTGTTTATGGATGGAAACATTGCTTTTCATCAAAATGATTGAACCCTACACAGGAGTAACTTACTATCTTTTCAATTGAGTTTCAATCCAACTTCTGGGCCAATTGTGGCCTGCTCATTTGGCTTAGTAAATTGTACGAATCCAGCCATCATGGTTTGTAAAATCCTGATTTATTATACTATTTAAATAAATCCAGCTGCTTATTTAATAAGACATGGTTTGCTGAGAATGTTGTGTGAATAACATATAGTGCAACTGGTGCAATTGCAGTCATATTTCCATGGAACAGTTTGATGCAGTGATTAAGCTGCTGAATTAGAAACCAGGACACGGAGTTCTATTCCTGCCTTAAGTCTGAAAGCCAACTGGGTGACTTTGAGCCAGACTCTCTGTCTCAACCTAACCTAGCTCACAGGGTTGTTGTGGGGGAAGAGGAGGCAGGAACAATTAGGTATACTTGATAGGTTGTACAAAAATAAACATGGGATGTCAATCTATTAAATAAGTATTCCTGTATTAATTGATGCTCCAGAACTGAAATTATTGGGTGTCAGGTGGCATATTTGACAGATAAATAAACATGCTCCTTTTAACAGTGGACTAACCAGACATTCTAAAACAAAAAGAGGAAAATTAAAATATAGGAAAGTAGGGTTGCCAGGTCTGCTTCCAAAAAATAGCGGACAAGCGGGGTGTGTGTGGTTAAGTAGTAAAAAAAGTAGACTCTACAGCTTTACATTACGTACCATTTCATCATAAAGCTTTTGAATAAAAAAATGTCCACTATTTTGTGAAAAAAAATAGTGAACATAATGTGAAAAAAGTGGACTGTCCACTCAAATAGTGGACACCTGGCAACCCTAAATTTTATTAAACACCAATGAATTATTGTGATATAACAGGACGCCTATTGCCACAACCGGTTCCTCAAAAGTGTTTGACAGATCGGCTTTGAAAATCCACTGTGTTACTTGGGTTACACTATCCTTAGTTGCTTCCTTCTCTTTGTCTTCCCTGTCCCCCCTTCACCGTCCTCGCAACCTTCGCTCCCCAGGCTGTTTCACCAAGCCCGAGAAAAGGAAACCGCGTGCCGGCGCAAAAGGCGCCTCTCTGCGCAGCGATACCGAGCAACCTCCATCTTTGCAACGGGCAGCTATTCAGCCTCAGCCCCGTTGAAACAAGCACTTCAGTCAGCCATTTTAGCGAGGGGCGAATGCCCACCTGGAAGGGAGCAGCGGCCATTGGAGTTGAGGGCAGCTTTGCTTCGCATCCATTGACAGCTCAAAAGACGGCTGTTTTCTTAAGGGCAAAGGTCGGTGAGAGGAGCTGACCGAGGCGGTTTTTTTTCCCTTGCTTTCGAAACAGATGCGCCTGCCGGAGGAGCCAGCGTTACTTCCTCACTGCCCATTTCGCGCACGCTCTTTAAAAGCGTTTAAGTTGGAGGCATTGGGAGCAGCTGAAGAAATCCAGTTACCTGTGAGTAAATCTGGCTTTTACCAAGGTAGTGAGTGAGTGAATGAACGAGAGTGGTTTCTCTCCCTTTTCGTAACTCCCGGGGGGACGGGACGCTTTTCGCAGGTTGTTTAAATGCGGCTCTCGGAGGATGAGAAGGTTGTATTAACAGGGATTGGTTCCTGGCCGATCAGGGTTCATAAAAGAGACATACCCAATTCGGGGAAGGGGGGGGGGGAGAAAGAGAATTAAGAGGCTTCATATTTGCCTCTGGGACACTGATTGCCTTTTTCCAACCCTTACCTGCGTTGCTTACTGCTCAGGGAGAAGCAGAATTCTGGATCTTGTGGCATCTGTAGCAAAGTTCTCAGATCAAGCCTGGTTTTGTTTCTTAGCAAGCTAATTTCTGGTAGGTGTTTACGTTCGACTGTTTCTGCAAGTTTAGCTAGTCATCCAAAGGACGTACTGGTACTTGTGCTCCCTGCCTTGATGGCACATGATTTTGTATGCAATACAGTTTTGATGAGCTGTTGGTTATTTAATTGCTCAGCAGAAGCTGGCTGTCAGTGCTAAAATCAATTTTCATTGGCAGAATTCAGTTGGGAGGAGATTTTCATTCCGAGATATGTGATGGTTCCTTAGTAATGTGATTTCTCTGGACATCTTACTGGTCAGCTGCTGCACAAGAAACAGGTAGCATACTTGAAGCGTTTTTATTATGGTTGGTTGCACAGTCATTCAGATGTTCAGACTGGATTTGGCATTTTTAATCCACCCATTAAATCCTTCCCAAAGACCTGGGATGGGCAGAAGTTGTTGTAATGGTATGGTGGCAGGATGTAAGTGGTTCCAAGTAAAGCTGCCTTTGTCAATTAACTGATGGAGATTTTGTCAATGCTGATGGGGTTCAAGTGGTGCTCCAGATGTTTTGGGATTGCACCCAAGGCCCTATTATTGTTGTTAATACTTTTGCAATAGGAAGCTTCAACTTCTATTTCCAGATCTTATTATTATTATTACTTAAACATATATGCTGCCTGACTCTAAATGACATTAAGTGGCTTACAAATTTACAATAAAAACAATGAAACATAAACAATAAAGATAAAAAATGGCAAATGCAGTGAAGTAAGGATTCTCATTCTCTTTTGCCAAAGCACTGAGTGAAGAGCCAGGTTTTCACACCTCTTCTAAGAAATAATTAGTAACATGTTCCTTGCAGACAGTACTAAATAATGCAAATATTGTTAAAAATGTTAGTTTGCTAGGCTTCTTAATGAAATGCCCAAAAAACAAGTTCAAACTATTAAAGAAATGTGAGGTAAATAATTGACTGGTTTAAAGTGCAAATAGAGTAAGACATAGTTACTCTTTGCTTTCTCGTGAGAGTTAGCTGTTCAAAATAGGAATTATCTTTAAAAAACAAATCTGTATGTCTCACCCTATCTCAAATGAACACCTTCCCAATGGTGATTCTCATCTGTATTCTTCAGGTTCTGTCCTGTGTCACAATTTGGTACAAGAAGGCTTCCATTTTTAAGCCTGTCATTCTAACTATTGTGTCCGTGACTAGCTCTCCAATAGATCTAAAGATGCTTTGTAAAGATACACACTTAGAATTTTCAATAAAAGACTGACAGATACGATCAATTGCATTGATGGAAGCCATACTGAACTGCTGAAAAGAGTTTTCTAAGCTAGAAGGTAGGGCTCATGCCCTAGAAAGTTGTGAAAATTGATTAAGGTTTTTTCACCAATTGATGCATCTTACGCTATTTGAATTGTATAAATCTAGATAAAAAGTAAGGTATTGATTAGCTTCACACATGATGCTAAGCCAGGATTTTGAAATTATAGTTCAGTCTAAGCCATAATATCATGGATTATTTGTACTACTAAATTATAGTAGTGGGTTTACACCGAATACTAAATTGCAGACCACAGTGTGGTTTAGTTCAGCTTGTAAACTCAACCCTAGGATTGTACACTTTTCTTGATAAATGTAAACATTTGTGAAACACTTCCTGTTTCAACCAGGAGGCCAGGCATACAGATTATTCATAGATCGTTGACATAATAAAACACAAAAGAATGATGGAGTGCACATCATGCTTTAATGCTTTTAATAGGAATAGTAATTAGGATACTGATGAAGTAGTTTATTAGAATCATTGACTAAAGACCTTTTAGTCTAACTGAAAAATCAACTAATGTAATTTTTTTTTAAAAAAATAACAGGTATCTGCTAAATAATTTTTAAGATTATATATGCCTCAAATATATGCAGCTTGCACATACTTCAAAATTTTCAGAAGACATACTTCAAACTTTGTATGAGCACAGCACTTCTAAGCGATTAACAAAGACCATGAGCCTATTAAAAAATGTTACACTGTGATTATTAACTAAGGAAGTTCATTGGAACTCAAGAGCATAAGACTGGACTTTGACACTCACTCCTTAAGAAAATATAGTTCCAAGGAATAATTACATTTTTTTAACCAGAAAAACATTCAACAGCATGAAGCCAGTTATTGTTGTTCATGGTGGAGCTGGTCGCATCTTTAAAGAGCGGGAAGATGGAAGTCGTTCTGGTGTCATCAGAGCAGCATTGAAAGGTTACAGTATCCTTAAACAAGGAGGAACTGCATTAGATGCAGTTGAAGAAGCCGTGGTATTAATGGAAGATGATCCACATTTTAATGCAGGTAACTTTTTAATTTTCCAAACTGAAATTCTTACTACCCAGTTCTTTGTAGCAGACATCTTTTTTCTTTCTTTTACTCCATTTTTGTATGCCCTTAATAACAGCCTCAATTGTGGGAATCAAAAAGGTGAGATTATCTTTCACATCCCTTCATTTCCTTACCTGCTAATTTCTTGCTAGGATGAATGCTGTTCAAGGATATATCCTCCAATTAGTTTTAAAGGAAATTTATACAAAAGGTATTTTCAATATCTAATTAAATGAATGCTTAAAAATCCACAAATCCTAAAACATTATTTTGTTTTAAACAAAATCCCTATTCTTCAGGATTGTGCCAAGTATGTTTGGCATTTGGTGCTTTAAATTTCAAGCTGCAAAACATTAAATGGGAATGAAATTTTGATCATAGATATAGTTTTTATTAGTATTACTTTTACTAAGTATAGTTTTTTATTAGTGTTACTTTTATTGACATTACTGTTTATATTATTGACAAAGCATATATATTCCAATTTCCTCAGGTTTTTTTTAAAAAACAAGCTTTGCAGTAGATATTCTGATATGTGAGGGATGAGATATATATAATGAGCAGAAAAGGTACAGAACTTTTATATATACTGTTAGGATTCTAACAGTATATATAAAATTACTCCTGCAAGGATTTTAATACTGCAAAAGCTGTCATTTAAAGAGTATTGAACAACAAATGAATTAAAATAGTGTAAAATTGTTTAGCTTCATGTTGGTTTATTAATATCTTTTCTACTTGATTCCTAGGTTGTGGCTCTGTGTTAAATGAGAAGGGGGAAGTAGAAATGGATGCTATTATCATGGATGGGAAAAATCTAGCCTCAGGAGCAGTATCAGCCGTGAAATGTATTTCTAACCCAATAAAGCTTGCTCGTCTTGTAATGGAAAAGGTATGCCAAGGGTGATCTTCAACAAAATCAGTTTCCCTTTGTGGTTTGATTGAAGTACTATGGTGCTTTGTGACCTCTGGCCTTGTGTAAAGATATAATAGAAATGCTGCAATCCAGGTGATAATTGCGTTTTTTAATGGTTTCATATTTATTTATTTATTTATTTATTGTTTATATTTATATCCCGCCCTTCTCCTTGCGGACAGAAAGCTGGTATATAGCTTGGCCAGTAAAAGGGAGCCTCTGACCTGCCAAACGTTGCTAAATGCTAGAATTGGTACTACCATCCAGCAGAGCCAAACAGTTAATGATGTTTAGAATTAAGGTTCAGTCACATCTGGTAGATCACAAGCTCCCCATTCTTGGGCTAGACTCAGATGTTTCTCTTTCGTGTGTTCTGCTTGCAAAAAGCTTGTTCGCTCTTGGGATGTTAAACACAATACCCCTGTATTCTATAGTGGCATAGTCTATTCTTCCTCCTTGTTGCCATGTTGTGCATAGAACAAATTTTATAGCTTGTTAGAAGAAATTGCAATCACTCTAAGAGGCCATGAACTTAAAGGCAGGCAGACTATTTTTATTTAGGGTTGGTAATGGTATGTAAGTGCTCAGTGGCTAATAGAGAGCATAATAATCTCCTATAATCTTAAATGGATTTTTCAGGGGTTTAAATGCACTTATAAGGGCTTTCCCTAATTTGAAGTGCTCCAGGTGTATTCAACTGCAGTTGCCAAAATGCCTTTTCAAAGGTTATTGCTTTTACCTATATCACCTAATAAATTTAAGATTAGACTTTCCTTCACTAATTTTATTGGTTTATCTTCTATAAAAATGCTGACCAGCAATTAAAGTTTAGATTTTCTTATCTTCAAATAAGCAATTAAAGGGTATATCCAGACAAAAGTGAACAAAATAGGATAAATTACAGCAGCTTTAAATTATAGTCGGTCACTTCCCAAGAATATGTTCAAGCAGCTGAACTATACCAAATTCTTAGCCTATGATTTCCCGGACTATCCTGAGAACAGTGTTTTCCTGCATGAAATTTTATGTTCAATGTAGCTGAGTTTGCTTCTGAACTTAAAATATTTGGAGTTTCACTTTTCTATTCACATGTATCTTAGCCTCTGATACATTAAACATCTTTTTAACTATAACGTACAAGAAAGTGCTTGAACTCCTATAGTCTTTTTCTTAATATATTCCAGAATATTCCAGCACCTTTCTACTACACTTTAAGCTTTCTAGCATTTTATGTCATGCTTTGCACTAATTGTGCTAGACTATGCATATACTTTTAGCATACTCCTTTTTCCTTAGTGTTTGTGAAGTCAAAACTGTACAATCTATGCACAAAGTAGAAGTGTTGGTAGATTTGGAGGTGCTCCAAGTTTGCAAAAAATAAAGATATCATTACAGGGAGAATATATACTTTAAAAGGGGAATTTAAAAGCAGTCCGGTTAAAAACAGATTGAATGCCCTGTGCTGTTGATACATTCCGTGTCCCACATATAAAAGCATATTACTATCATGTGTTAATGTGGGAAGATTTATTTTATCTTAGTAGAGATTTTAAGCTTTCTAACTTGTGAAAAATTGAAATGTGGCATTCCTTTTAAAAATGTCAAATGGTAATCACGTTATTAAAATCTTTGTTACAAATTCTGCTTGGTTCTTTGAGAGTGTTGTTCTGCTGTACCATATATGTTTCTAAAATGATCAAGGCTTTGTATCCTATCAGGGCACCATATTAGCTCCCTCTACTGACTCAAGAGGATTTGGACAAGCAACATTCTTGAGGCTACCTTGTTAAGCAATCCTTTGAGATCCTATTCATTAAGTCAGGCAGTTTCACAAGCTTTTAATTCCTCAGGATAGATCTACTGTATTAAAATGATAGCATCTAGAAATCTACCAAAATATGGAGG